CCCCAATAAAATGATTTTTTTTAAAAGAGCTCTTGACACACAATATCCAGGACAGATAAATCCCTCAGGAACAGTAATGGGAGTATCACGAGGGTAGGGGAAAGGTGGGAGAGAAAGGGAGAACCGATCACAATGATCAACATATAATCTCCCCTCCAGGGGGAATGAACAACAGAAATGTAGGTGAAAGGAGACAGTGATGGTGTAAGATGTGAAAATAATAATAATTCATAGCTGTGCCACCAGGAGACCTTACCTTGTTCCAACTCAAAAGCTAAGAGGAACTAGATGTAATAAAGACTTCAGTAATACTATACACTTGCTTGTTCAAAGGAAGAGATAACATCTGTCAATTACTCTAAAGAATTTTTTAAACATTAGAAGAAATATTACGTAACAATATCTGCTTCAATTTTCCCATGTTTGCCTCTTTTCTGTACCTTATCCTCTACTCCTAAACCATCATAAAAATCCTGTCCCAGCTCTCTTTTCAGCTTATATAAAGAAAATATTTATATAGAGCATACTACCTTGGTAGAAGCCACATCATCTGTGTTATTGAAAAGCCACAAGGTAGCTCAAATGATTTCCACAGCACATGGCTTCATCATTCTAACACTCTCCAAAACTTTTCATTCAGAATTAAGGAAAATTTTTCAGGTAGACAAGGGTAATTTTATGAGTTTAAATCCTTACTCTACCACTTATTAGTTGTATAACTCTGTTTCAGGTTCTTGCGCTGTAAATCTGTAAATGATATAAACTCTTGCAAGGACTGTTCTAAAAAGTCAATGAGTTAGAACGGACTCAATGGCAGTGAGTTGGGTTTGTCCCTCTATATTAACCTGCCCAAAGGGAGGGAGGACGATGGGTAACTTCTCAACACTGTAAGGAGGCCTGGTGGGCTGTCTGGAAAGCACTGGACTGCTATCCACAAGGTCGGCAATTCAACAACAGCTCTCTTTTCAGAATATATAAAGAAAATATTGATATAGAGCATATCGACTTGGTAGTTACTAACTAGTCTCTGCTCAAAACACTTTAATAGCTCATCTCACTCATCGCACTCAGAATAAAAGCCCAGTTCCATGTTTAACAAGGTCTGGCTCCCACCTCTCTCTCTTTCTCGCTCACTCACTCAACTCCAGCAAAACTGTTCTCTTCACATCAGAAATACTTCATATCTTTTAATTCACTGCTCACTATGCCTAGAACTAGACTTTCTAGATCTACAGAATAATACTTTCAGATAGAGAAGCACTCCTTTAAAGGTTTTGCATCAGCGTCACTTTCTCAATGAGGATTAACCAGTCTACCCCATTTAAAATGTAAAGTGACCAAGTAACCTGGAATTAAGATCCTCAGTTCTCTCAGTAGTCAAGGGCTGGTCACTAATCAAAAGTCAGCAGTTTAAACCTATTCTGCCTGAGAAAGATGTGGCAGTCGGCCTCCATAAAGATTTATAGCCTTGGAAACCCTAAAGGTCAGTTCTCCTCTGTCCTTCACGGTCACTTTGAGTCAGCATTGACTTAATGGCAATGGGCTTACTTTTCTTGCTAACATGCTAGAAGGGGCCCTGGTGGCACAATGGTTAGACAGTCAGTTGCCAACCAATAGGTCGCTGGTTCAAATCCACCTAGCAGCTTCCACAGGA